TAGACAATTTTCGAAACACCGTTATCTATTTTCTAACATTTCTCTCATCCACGTGCCTTTTTTTGAGTAATTAACAAATTGTGTGGGATCCAACGTGAACAAATTTTTTTTACAGTCAAATGTTCATGCAATATTGAATATTATTAGTATGCTAGGCCCACTAATACCTATAGTTATCTCAATCTCACTATAGATCACATGACGATCCGGCAATTTCAGTTTGCGCAGAGCATCGTTTCCGTAACAACAACTGATTTTGGACGACCTTCACTAAATGTGACTGGGAGAGTTCTAGGGCTTCGATTGAACTCACTATACCATCGATAAAAACTGGTCCTTGATGGAGTTTCAACGCCAAAATTGAATCGAATTCAGCGATGCACTGTTGCTGAGTTAATCCACGTCGAGAGTCGTAAAACATAATAGCGCCAAAATGTTCGCGATTTGAATCCATTTTTTGGCCTAGATGAATATTTTAAGTTATTGTAAACATCACAAATAGCATTTGTATGTCAAAACATCGAAAATGTCAAACTTTTCGAGTGTGTGCGTTTTGTGTGTTGCCAGATTGCAACGCTAGGGTTGCCAAATCCCGAAATATAAAAAGCAGCCTACGTATAGTGGTTCGATCTGAAAATGTTGTAGCGTTGCCCTGGATAATCTTTCATGCCAAATTTTGCGAAGATATCTCGTCAAATAAAAAAGTTTTCTATACAAGAAATTGAATTTGATCGATCAGTTTGTATGGCAGCTTTATGCTGTAGTGGTCCCATAGGAAATATTTTTCTGATATTGCAGAGTTGCCTTGGTCAATAATTCATGAAAAATTTCATGTTCAGAGGTTTAGGTATCTCAAAAACTGAGGGACTAGTTTGCGTATATACAGAAACACGGACATGGCTAAATCAACTCAACTCATCACGCTGATCATTTAAGTATGTATTGTATATATTAAGTTCTCCGATGTTTCCTCTAGGTGTTACAAACTTCGTGGCAAACTTTATATATCCTGTTCAGGGTAAATTCCCACTTTTTTACTTCGTATCCAACAACGTACTTCTAATGAACAGTGAGTAATAGACCACTTTTTTCAAAATATTCTTATCGTAGTGGACAACAAGTCAATATGTAGATACCAAATTAATTTGAATCAAAATAAACTGAATTTATTTCTTAACTAAGTGAGTTAAAATCGCCTAATGCTTGAAAAACTATTTCAATCGACAGAACTCCTGTTATAATTCGCAGAAGTTGTCATCTTCAACAGCACAATCTATTGTGCCTAGTGGTATCAACCGCATTTTCACTACACTTGGCAATACCCATACACATTTCCCAATAGTCATGATGAATATTAACGAGAGCACTGTTTTCTTTCCATCTTTCCAGTGGGTTCGCTCCTAGTGTGCGATCCGCTGGGACAGTGCTGCTGATGAAAGCCGTTTTGTGTGCGGCCGGCCTTTCAACAAGAACGTCGGTTGGTCACAGCTGCGCAAAGTTTGGACACACATTTCGATTGCACATAAAATGAAAAAGGGACCCTTATATCGACAAATATATGTAGGTATTATTCAAATATGTACATATACGTTTGTATTTGCATAGATTTACCAATGAATAGTGTCCACATTTCATTCCAGCCCGCTTCGCTATCAGTTTGGTGGCACAAATGAACAAATAGAAGCAGGTAAGGGGTTTCCACCATTTTAAATAAAAGCTCTAATGTGGTATTATCTTGGGGCTTCTACAAATACAAAACATTTTACCGCATTCCGTTACCCACACGAAGATGCTGCGATAATACTTTTTGTTGGTGCTGTACAATAATGTTAAATAAGGTACTTTTCACAAGCAGACGACGTAAACAATTGCAATACATATATACAAGCTTATTTAGTATGGAATCATGGAGGTAACTTCCCATATTAGCATGGCTCTATCTAATCTCTTTATTTCTCTCTAACTCTCACTGATTAAATTAATACTAGGTTGTAATCACACAATTTATCCAGTTCCACTAGGGAACTAAACGTTTAAAGACTCGATGCACTGGTTGCTCACGTTGTCGCCATAACAAACTGTAAAGAGTAATTTCGATTTGGCGAAGACTACGTCAGAACGCAGTAAGTGAAGAACTACAAAATACAGAGATATTCCATTGCGTTGTTTTACATAAATTTAAACTATTATTAGTCATCATCGATTCTCTCTTTCTCTGCACGCTAACTTTGGACGCCGCTCTCTTGTCAAAAAATTTACATTTAAATGCAACAAAACAGTAAGCGAGTTGAATCCTGTACAAAAGAGTACTCAGATACCTGAATCAGCTAGTATAACCGCTTTCTCCAAAGCCATCAAGTTTCGAAAGCAGATTTCATTTGGATTCAGTGACCTAACTCTTTGATGGCTCCTTCCCCGCGATACCGTCATTTTAAATATCATAACAACCGTCTCAAGGTGTGATGGGGAAAGACGGTATCCAAGAGCGCACAAGTGGTGTCCCACAATTGACCAAACACAATTGGACAGTTGCTGCAAATATTTATTCAAAGATGGGGCGTTGAGTTGGAGGTGATTGGAGTTATACAAACTTTCTTTTCATGCTGCTATTGTACACATGGTTCTTGGTCACTACTGATGACGAAGCTTAGAATTGCCGCAACTGTGGCAGCTGTTGCCTTAATGTATGTACATACATATGTTTTCAGTTGAACTGTGGGTGCGACAGCAAGTTTTGTTAGTTTTGTGGGGACTGATGCTGCGAAAGTTCTGCTTTCTAAACTTTTCTACAGTTGGTACATAGTATTTCTGCTAAATTTTTGCTTGTTGCACTAAAACATTTTGTTTCAGTTTTTCTTTGTGTTAGAAACATTCAAAATTAAAAAAAAAGCATTAAAATTTATGTTTGCCTAATGGCAATGCAGAGAAATGGTGTGTGAGTTAAACGGAATTGCCTGAGCGCATATGTTGCACGCTGGGTATGCCCAATGAAAGTTGACTCAAATTTATTCTTACCGTCGACAATGGCAATGACCAACGTAACCAATTCCGTTTTGTACAGTTCTCGCATGCGACATTTATTACATACAAATGGATACACACACGTCGCCATGACTATTTATAATCGCTGGCAGCTGTTAGATCTATAACAGTTTGCCAAACTATTGCAACTTTTAAATCAAAATAAAAATATTGAATTCGCCGGAGTGCAACTTCCAAAAGCTTTTTTCATAGCTTTTAAGCCAATTATTTTATACCCCAACTAATGAAAAATCGATACTCAGTTGGCATGGATCTGCATATAAAAAGTTCGTTGAAATATAGAACTTCTGAAGGATGGATATAGCAACAGTTCTTCTCTTCTTCTTAACTGGCGTTGTTAACGCTTAGCCACTTGAGCAGAGTTCAATTTGTCGAACATTGTTGAACGTTCCTACTAAAGTGAGGTTCACGTAACCAGAAGAGACCTGTATTTTTATTTTTCGAGATGACAGCGTTCCTCCCATTTTTGGGGGAATGTTTTGACAACAACAAACGACAGAAATTATGAAATAGATTTTAAGTCTCACATTATCGGCATTGATTCTGCCTCCATCAGGTCTGACTTAATATCTTATACTATAGTTGCAGACTATCCCATAGTTAGCTAATGAAACAAAAAACTCCATCGTCTTTTCTTGGTTTTCGAGTTCTTCTTTATATTTAATTTAAATTTGCACATATGTACATATGTATGTACGTATATAATATTAATTAAACCGATTTTGAAACTTTATAATATATGTCTGTACATATGTCTATACTCGCTCAATATTTAAGCACACTTATTTAGAAAATTTGTTAGAACTTTTACCACGAAAAATAGTTTCTATTTCAAACACAGTGCCATAAAAAAAAACCTTCCTGCATTTATGAATCTTTGGCTGACAATAGCAAATTTGTTGCTAACATTTTCATTAGGAAGTAAAACTACATACATATTTTCTTTAGTTTAGTTTACTATTATACCCTTACCACCACTAGCATTGAGTATTCGCTCCGTTAGCCATGTAAGTGGTGAGTGGGTGATTGGGGCAAATAAGGTGAATGAGTGTATTTTTCCGGTTCATGTATTTTCTTAGAATTTGCATGACACAACTCACAAGCAACCACAGGAGACACCTGTTTGCATTCCCAGCAGAGCCGGATGTGTTCGGTGAAGTGGGCGACGAAAGCTTTTTCAAACAATTCGGAATAGAAATCGTAAAAATAATCCCTCGTTGGTTTTCTTGGTCTTTGTCCTTGGCTATGTAGTCTTTATTGTTACGTAATTGTTTTTTATGCGAAATTCCCATCATGATGCTACTATTCATAAAAGACGTGCATGAATATACTGTTATACATAAATATGTACGACAGATGAATACCGTAAATTTGTACGCACCGCTTCATATGTTATTATTAAGTTATATTATTGTGCTGCGAACAGCGGAGGGCGTTCTTTATTATATCCTGAACATAGTATATAGGTATATTAAGTTTGCCGAGAAATTTGTAATACCCTATCGTTCTGAAATTTTGCACATGTCCTTTACTCACTAAGAAGCCTTTAAGTCGGAACCACTAATATCGAACGACCTGAACGATCAAAATCAAGTCCTTGTATGGAAAACGTTTTTATTTGATGAGATATCTTCATGAAATTCGGCATATTATAGCTTAATATGTAGCTTCCAAATTACAAAGGTATGCATTGTGCTCAGTATCAAAAGAACACTGTAATATCTCCTTTTCTTTAATTGAATTCAGTATACACTGGGTGTTTACTTATTTAGAAAATCTAGAGCAGAAGTTCTTTAGTTATTTTCAGACCCTAATTAATCCAGGTCATCCGCTCTATCTAATAATCCGAATTAATCTAATAAGTTATTTGATTAGTAGTTTGTTCATAAAGAATATCGTTGAGATAATTTGAATATTGATTGGATTGCAAAAATTTACGTAAACGTCATAATACGAACCTTTGTTCCGTCGACTAGAATTATTGTGTGCAGAAGTCTCATAGGCGTCCTTATCAGTAATTTCTTCTTTAATTATCGTCTTGCCGTCAAGAGCCATCTGCAAGCAAAATAAAATAATTGTTATTCCAATGCAATATAATATTAAATGGAAATGTACCATATACATGCTCTGAAGGAAATATATACCTATTCACCATAACTTTTAAAGGTGAGATATTCGCCGTCGTCTTTCAACAAGGCCTTTAAAACATTTACCGTTAATTAAGCTAATACTAAGCTAAGCGTTTGCTATTAATTAAACTTTGTACGTTGATTGATTAGAATCCGTTTGAGAATTTGGTTTCTTTTTCATGTACGTCATTTTATAGAATTTATTTCAGTTTCCTTAATTTTCTTTAATATTTAATTTTAGTTTAGGTATTTATAACCCTGATTCTAGTACACAGTTATATTTAGATTTGTTAAATAGATCCTAAAGTTACATAACTACAAAAAAGTTTGATGACAAATGATGATTTTCCCACAGTGCAATTACGCTGTGCGAGGGTGGATTGTTGTTGATTTCGAGGGGGTTATAATAGTAAAATAGTATCTGACATGCAAATCAGTAGTGAGTACTGTTATAGAGCTAAAACAGGCGACGATGATACTTCGTACGAAAGCAAGAAATGCCGAGTTTACATTGTTATATTAACCAGTGATAATACAGTTGCAAAACCAACATCGTCAGTTCAGAAAAGGAGAATGACATTAGTCTGCTCTAAAGCAGTTAGATATAGACCCGCCGAGAGGGAAGTGGGTCGGAGGTGATTCCCCCGGGTCCGGAAATCTCGAAGTGGACCGCATTTTCCAAACAATTGGTGATTAGTAAAAGTTAGTTAGTAAAAAATAGAATAAACGTTGTGATTACCGATAAAGTAACGTTTTCACGCTTTTGTAGATTGGGTCAAAAAATCGGCAAAGCTATTGCCGCTTTAATTTTCAAAACATGGTAGTAATATGAGCGGTAAATATAAAGGAGGGCAAAATTACATCCAACGTATTAATAAGTATGCAGTTCTTTCGCTCTGTGGGGCCCACACGCTGAATTTGGTTGGAGTCGACTCGGCTGAATGTTGTTCTCCAGCAATAACTTTTTTGGTGTCGTTCAAAAATGTTTCAATATTTTCAGTAGCAGCACACAACGTTGGGAAATTCTGAAATGCAAAATATTCAGATCACTTCACTGTCTTTATAATACAAGGTGGTCTACCAGAATCGAGGTCATTAAGTCATTTGCGAAAAATGTTCCCGGATTGATAAAAGATTTAAAAAAAATTAAAGAACTTAATTGCAGAAACTCGTCGAGGCGTTGATGGAATTTTGAAATATAAGAGCAAATTTGAGTGCGTTTAAATAGCCACCATATGGTTTAAAATCTTTCAGTCAATAAATGAAAGAAAGTTGGTTCAAGAGATGAATGCCACCATCGACGCTGAAGTTAGAAATACAGAAAATCTTCATGTGGACTTGCAATGTCTACGCGACCAGTGTGAAACAATTTATAATGAAAGCAAAATTGATGCAGAGGATAGAGCATGTCGAGACGATTTTACAATCAGCAAAAAAACAAAAATAAAAAGGGAACGACCTACATGAAGAAGTGGATGAAAATTGGATAAAGAGGAAATTAAATTCAAAAGAAATCGATCTTATTTCTATGGCAGCTCCATAATTTGAAGGAAGATAAACTCAACGCAGCTGTCAAAAAGTTTGTAAAAAGTTAACGATGCAAATTTTGAAACCCGTATGCTATCAAAGCTCGAAAATTAGGAAGACTTTTCCCAAATATTTATTTGTATCGCTTTGAGAATATTTTGCACTTTATCCGTATCTGTTTCAAGTGGTGAACGTTCGTTTAGTGCTTTAGTAAGGATCAAAAATTTAAATTAATCATGCTTGTCACAGGGCAGAATTTCAGAACTAGCTACACTATATTATCGACTCATTTGCTGTCGCCGATGCTCGAAAAACTCACTTCCACACAGTTTCAAATAATTGAAGATAAGAGGATTTTAAACAGCATGTTCATAAACTTAATCACGATAGTCAACAGCTTTTAAAAGAACCGTTTTTTCATGAATTAGATTGGTAAATAAATGTTTAAATGAGAAGTTTCTGTCTTCTTATTAACTGTAAAGTCGTGCTATCCCAATATTCATATATTCCGGTATAAACTGAAAAAATAGTTTAGACTGAAAATCTATGTATGAACTGATATATACATATGATCATTATTGATTTTCAAAATCGTGCAATACAAATTTGTTCCAGCCAACATCAACAAGAAGTCAAATTAATACAGATGTGATCAGAGCATAAAACATTACGTCGTATTTGACTTATTCCTTAAAAACATTGAAGTAGTAAGTGGAAAGATAGTTATTAAAGTTTATAAAGAATTATAAATATTTACTCCTGGGCCGGGGTTTTCTTTCGGCGGCCCTGTATACATATAGTAAAATTATAATCGAAAGAGACAGGGTAGCTTCACTCACTTGGGAATACTTCGTGGCGAGGCTCCAATTACGGAAGGCAAATTATGCTCTCCAATGAAAATCAAAGGGAAAACATCTGCATCGTCAAGAAAAACAACATTGGCAAGGAGCAGTGGGCAGAGTTCACGCCGGTCCGGAGTGAATTGTTGGAGCCCTGTAGCCATATTAATGTATGTAAAAATATGTAAGTACTGGCGGCAGCTGCTGCATGCCTACTTTCCAAGCCCCGTCTGCTGCCCACTTTGACTGCCTTTGGCTGTCCGCTAGCCTAACTGCTGCTGCCTGAATAAAATAAACGATGCCGGCGATGAAATCAGCATTCAGTCATTGAATGCAGAGCAACAGTCTCTGCTAGACATGATTGCTAAAAAATCAGCACCACAAATAAACAATAACAACACGACTACAACTACAACACCATAGAGCAAGCAGCGTACCTATCCATGTACGTCAATTACAACAGCTGGCCTCAACAATGCGCAGCATTAAAACAAGTGTTGGCAGCGAAAGCTACACACACACAGGTTTACATGTTTCTGCTAGAAATATATGTAGATTCTACTACCAGTCAACAACATCTGTTGCTGTAGCTGGAGTGCGACGGGCGGCATATACATACACATGTGTGAGCGCATATGCATATGTGGATTTGGGTAATGGTGAGTGGTGACTGGTGAATTGTGAATGGGTGAATGGGTGAAGCGCACAACTGCGAGAAAACATTTTCCGCTGGTCTCCTCTCTACATTCAGCGCGCTGTGTTGTTGTGTTTCTTTTAACCTTTTCGCCTTTTGCGCCGATTGGAAAAGTAACACCTGCATTCATAAATTGCTTAAAAATCACCTTGGCTGCCGGCAATTGAGAATGACAGAGTGTCTGGCGGACTGACTGATGGGCAAAGAGCTGTACCGCCACATATTGGACGGTGGCAATAGCATGGTGGCGGAGTACACAGCTGCAGTTAAGTTGTATGCCGAAAATTGTCAGTGTATTGTCTATTTAGATACTATAATGCATGACATACATACAAACAAATACTTGAAATGTGAGCGAAAACCCACATTTAAGCACACACTGATATGTAGAACCTTTTAATTTCCTTTAATTAAACGAAGCACACAATGAAGCACGTGTGATGGATGGATGCGTTCAGACTTCATATTTTTAATCGCGTATATATTTTTAACGGTGACATGGCAGATATTAAATAAACTTATTATATTTCGTGAACGCATTTCTATTTTTCTTTTCTACAAGTATTCTATTCTATACCCAAAGAAACAAGTCCGTTCGGTAAAAGTCCAGACTACGAAGTTTTCGTGTCCTTTCTATATGCAGAAATTTATACTGGTTTAATAATTATTTATCATTACCTTTAAAATATATATTAATATGTATTTTTTTTTGTTATTTAGCTGAAAAATAAAGCGGAACCCGGTTAAAACTTAAGTTTGGTTTTATAAGAGATTTTTCATAATTTATTTGATGAATAAATTTTAAAAACATCTTTGATAACTAAAAAGATTTTCAAAGTATATTTTACTGTTAAAATAATAAAAATATTTAATAATAAAATATAAATTAAATAAATAGTAAATAAAATACCATAAATGTCTTATTATTTCCAATGAAATCCTTCAGCATCAATAATCGTTTCATTCCGTGTTCTTGATACGTCCAGTATATAATATCGGGACTTTGGCCAGTCCATTATTATACTCTTGTTACAGAGCACACTAGTTTTGTTCACCTAAAAGTTGTTTGTGTCACCTAAAACTAATCGAGATAGATATAGGTTTATGAATATACATAAATGATCAAGATGAGGAGACGTGTTGTCCGAATGTCTGTCTGTCTATCCGTCTGTCTGTGCAAACTGTAACTTGAGTAAATATTAATCGAAAACTTATAAATTGGCATAATTAAGCCTCAATTAATTCAACTGTAAATTGATACAACGAATCGCAATAGCGAGGGTCACCTGTGGTTTGACAATTGTTAAAAAGTGGGAGTGGCTTCGTCCCTTAATAGGTTTAATGTATATATCTCTCAAACAATTCAAGCTATATCACCCAAATTTGTACAGAACAAACCGTTTCGACAGCTTTTGCGTCTGCGTAAAAGTAGGTGAAACTCTCCTACATAACGGTTTTTATAAAAACTACTTAAAGTGCGTAAATTAATAATGTAATGAGTCAGAGTCATTAACGTATACATCCATAATGGCACAAAAGGGATTTATAGGAGCAGGTGTCAAAATTTGACAAATGGCGTTGCTCCGCCCACATTCAGGTGAAGTCACATACAACACCTACTTCTCATATAACACAAATTTAAATTTCATCTGATTTTTTGACTTTGCAGTGTGCAAATCAAGCACTACTCCATATGTATATTGAAATAAAGCTTTTTAAAAATAATGCCTTCAAGATATGCCATCTCAAGTTTAAAAATAGTAAAAATTGGGCAATAACTTTTCAAGCCTCCATACACCGAAGATGTGGACCCAAGTATCCATGGTTAACTTTTTACCGATATTATCGTTCAATGTATGAGATATA